ACGCTGTGCACGTCTACCGCACGGTGTTTCAGGCAGCCCAGGGCGGGAAGATCGGGCTCACACTCAACTGCGAATGGCGCGAGCCAAAGCCATCGGACGACGCGGCGACGTTCGCGCGCAACGCAGAGGCCGCCGAGCGTTCTCCTTGTAGAGGTGGTAGTGGTCCACCGCCTTGTCGCCGGTGTCGCCGTTGAGAGTTTTGCCGGGCGTCTTGGAGAAGGCGTCCCAGATGCTGAGGCCGCGGCCGCCTTCGTCAGCGGCGCCTTCGACCTGGTACGCGGCGGTGGCGGCGCCCCAGGCAAAGCCGTCAGGGAATTGAAGCATAGGCATGGTGTTCGCGTTGGTGCTTGATGAGGCAAGTGAAAAAGTGAAGAACGAAATGACACCAGTGGTGAGCCAGAGACAGGACCACACGCAGAATGGAGGACATCCGTCGATGCTTGATGTGGCCAAGCGTCATTACCAAGGCAACTTCAACCAGCTTGATTTCGGTATTCTATGGTACAAGCTAGTGTTTCGTGCAATCCACGGGCTGGATGGCCTGCGAGTCATCCATGATGGCGATCATGCTTGCGCTACATCAACGTTTCTATCGCTCCGAGCCCACCCGACACGCCACGTCGCGCCTCTTCTTTCACCCTAGGCCCTTGACAATCCGCCGTCAAGCTCGGATGCCGGCAGATTCCTTGGTGGCACACAACCTACACAATGGTGGGAACCCCATACATACCTCCCATGCCAGCTGCCGGTAGTCGGGCTGCCCGACGGTCGCCATGCCCGAGGTCGTCACGTGTTGACCATGATGCAAACTCTGATAGCTCGCTTGACGTGGGCAAGAGTAGGTCGATGACGTGAAGTACGTTGGTAGAGCAAACACCCCCGTCCGCAATCGCACCCTCCTGCGTTAGCACATCATGCGCCAACTTCAACGTCTCGTAACCGGAATATGACACAACGCCATCCGGATGACCACAATCAAAAAACGAAAATGCTGACGTTCCCGGACGGCTTTGTCTGGGGCGCCGCCACCGCCGCGTACCAGGTCGAAGGCGCCGCTGACGAAGGCGGCCGCGGCCTCAGCATCTGGGATGCCTTCTCCAAGACGCCCGGCAAAACTCTCAACGGCGACACCGGCGACAAGGCGGTGGACCACTACCACCTCTACAAGGAAGACGTCCAGCTCATGGCCAACATGGGCCTGAAGCACTACCGCTTCTCCATCTCGTGGCCGCGTATCCTCCCGACGGGCCGCACGGACCATATCAACGAGGAAGGCATTGCGTTCTACAGCAACCTCATTGACGAGCTGTTGGCGCATGGCATCACTCCGATCGTGACATTGTACCACTGGGACCTCCCGCTGGCGCTGCAAACCGAGTTTGATGGCTGGCTTGGCGGCCAAGTGGTGATCGACGCATTTGCCGCCTATGCGCGCCTCTGCTTTGAGCGGTTTGGTGACCGCGTCAAGCAGTGGCTGACGCTCAACGAGCCGTGGTGCTCGGCGTTGCTCGGGCATGGCACCGGCGACATGGCGCCGGGCCGCAAGCACAAGTGCAAGACCGAGACGTACACGGCGGGTATACAATTTGATCTGATCGATCGATTGAAATGGAGCTTATGAATGCGATGCTAGCGCATCACCTGCTTCTGGCGCACGCGCACGCTGTGCACGTCTACCGCACGGTGTTTCAGGCAGCCCAGGGCGGGAAGATCGGGCTCACACTCAACTGCGAATGGCGCGAGCCAAAGCCATCGGACGACGCGGCGACGTTTGCGCGCAACGCAGAGGCCGCCGAGCGTTCAGTGCTCTTTGAGCTTGGCTGGTTTGCAGACCCGATCTTCTTTGGCGACTACCCGGCGACAATGAAGACGCGCCTTGGCGACCGCCTCCCGCGCTTTACTCCTGCGCAAGTGGACCTGGTGCGCGGTATGTCTTCCGTCGACCCCGTCGTTTGCCCATGATTTCCACTTGTGTTTCTAGGCAGCGTGGATTTTTTCGGTATCAACAGTTATGCCTCCAAGTACGCCGAGCCAGGAGCAGGCTACGACACACTGCCGGGCTACGATGGCTGCATCTGGGACGACCAGGCCGTCGACGTTTCGTCCGACCCGAGCTGGTCCCAGACCGACATTGGATGGAACATTGTGCCCTACGGCTTTCACAACCTTTTGGTACGTGTCGTCCAGCTTCAAGCAGTTCGCACATTATTCTACGACTAGCACTGGATCCAGAAGCGGTATGCACCGCCCGGCGGCATTTACATTTTTGAGAATGGGTGCGCGGTCGCCGACAAGGACAAGGAGACAGCGACCGACGATACGGCGCGCATCGCGTACTACAAAGCGTACCTGGCCCAGGTGCACCGCGCCATCAATGAGACGGGTGTTGACGTCCGGGGGTACTTTGCGTGGTCGTTCATCGACAACTACGAGTGGGCGTGCGGCTACACCAAGCGCTTCGGTCTCCACTGGGTCAACTACGAGACGATGGAGCGCATCCCGAAAGCGTCGGCCATCTGGTTCAGCCACGTCATGCGCGCCAACGGACTCGGCAGCCGGGACGACGGGTCGGCCATGCCAGCGTGTTGCGCCCTCTCAGAATAGCGCGACCGATTTGAAAGAATGGATTCAGAAATCGACGATTGTATTTCGCTGTCAGTGTTTGATCCATGACCTTCCTTCCAGAACGGCTGCTCGCGCACAAGCTCGATGAGTGCGCTCGGTGGCACGGCCAAGCTCGTGAATGCGCTGGAAGGGTTTCGGCTCATCGAGCAAGGCGTCGTCGCCAAACGGCAGCAGCACTACGAGGAAGTCGCCGATCGCGTCCTTGGGTACCTAGATTGTCCTGTGTCGATAGCATCTGGATAAAAGAATGGTCGTACTAGTGCGGCAGAAGACCTCGACGCGGTCCCGGCCATCGAAGTCGATGTTGCTGTGCGGCGACTGCTGCGCGCCAAAGCGAGCGTTGTCGTCGGCTGGGCCGAAGGGATTGTGGTGGATGCAACTGCGCCCCGAGGGCCGACCCGCGTACCCCCGCGGCGATCGAAAGACAATTCGATACCAACGACAGTGTCGGCTGCACCGTCGGTTGGCAGGGACGAGACCGAGCAGACGAATATGCACTACACGCCCGTTCTGACGCGGTCGCCGTCCAAGTTTTCGCGCGACGGGTATCAACTGCAGGTCCTTCGCCGCCACCGCATGCTCATCGTCATCACCACGTACGACGAGATCGAGATCGAGGCGACGCTGCGCAAGGTCGGCAACAACGTCGCGTACTTGTGCCGACACAATCTTCCGGGCGACGACGCGTGGCAAAACGTGCATCATTGTCAGCGACGGCCGCGCCAAAGCCTCGGCGAGTACGCTCACCCAACTGCGCGAGACGGGTGTCTACGACGAGGACACGCTGCGCATCATGTCGGCGGGCTTGACCACATCGTTGCACCTCTTTGAAAAGACGCTTCTGCTGCCCGAGGCGTCCGGTACCAAGCTCTGGACGCACTCGAATGCGAGGCCGCCCCTTCAACTTTGCGCTAAAAGAGGAAAACGCGGGGAAACTTCACTCGCTCTTCTGGTTCTTCCACGGCTTTTGTACCCAAGTTGACCTGAGGTACACGGTGTGCTGTCTTGCATACTACGTCCTTGCTCATGTGTTACGAGGTGCTCTTGTGCAGATCATCCTCGACATGGGCAACCGGTACGATTTTGTCGTGTGGAATCATGACAATATTGCGCATATCTTGTAGACCGAAACACGTCGCACGCACGTACCGCGCGATTGGCGCCTACTACATGGTGCTGGTCGTGCTGACGACAGCCACGTCCGTCTTGACGCTGGTCCACACGGGGGCGGCGGCACTGTCGCCGAAAGAGATTGCCCTTGGTATCGCTGTCTTTGGTGTCTACGTTATCGCAGCCGCGTGCCATTGCAAGCTCCATCACATTATGCTCTCATTCGTCCAGGACTCGCTCCTCTTGCCCGTCATGATTGTACTATGGTCGACGTGGCGATATGATGCTACGTTTGCGCGATCGAACACGCTCAGCATCTACTCGTTTTGCAACCTGCTAGACTTGAGCTGGGGCACCAAAGGCATCGATAGCAGCCACGACGTCAGCTCGGACGCCAACAAGAACGGCGAGAACAAGGACGTTGTGGCGCGTCAAAGGCGGCCAAAGACCGCGCGAAACAAGCAGCCGCGACTGCAGGTGCGTCCTTCTATGGCCTCGACTAAGATCTAAGGGGGATCCTAGATCTGGTGCGTCGGCTTTGACTCGTTTCGGTCAAATTTGCTCTCACTGTGGCTCGTCTCGAACGCAGCGCTCGTCGGCGGCTTGCCCTGACGATCTCTAGGTTACATGCCGTGTTTGTTTATCGCAGTTGGCGCCTTCAACGTATACCGGCTCGTCGGCTCGCTCCTTTTCCTTCTCTACACGGGTCGGCAGTGGCTGCTGCTTCAGCTGTGTCTGTGCTGCGGCTGTCTCCGGCGCCGCTATGATAGGAAGCGTCGCCTCGGGTCCGACGACCGCACGATAGCGATTCTGGCGCCGCGCGATCCACTGGTCACAATTTAGCGCCGGAAAGTTTCGAATACGAGTGCACATATATGAACGTATTTCGTGGTATTTCGTGTTATCGTCATTTCACAACGACTTCGCATACGTAGAGACTAGCCATCTCCTTTTTCATTCGCTCACCGGGCCGTGGCTGCGCAGGCGGCGGCTCGGGTGCGTCTTGACAAGAGATACGAATCCACTCAGAATACTGTCTACTTTCACAAAAGTGTTGGTGTCATATTAACTTAGGTTGAGGCCGCTTCGTTCATCTGATGGGCCTGGATCGCCGTGATGGCGATCGTTGTGACAATGTCGCCGACCGTCGCGCCGCGGCTGAGGTCGTTGACGGGCTTGTTGAGGCCCTGCAGCATCGGGCCCATCGCAAGGCAGTTGGTCGACTGCTGCACCGCCTTGTACGTGTTGTTGCCCGTGTTGAGATCCGGGAAGATGAGCACGTTGGCGTTGCCCGCGACTTCCATCTCGGTCTTCTTGAGACCCTTGACCTTTTGCTTGGCGATGAGCGGGTTCATGGCCGCGTCGTACTGGATCGGGCCGTACATGGGGATCTCGGGCGCCATCTTTTGCGCGAGCTTGGTGGCTTCCCGCACTAATATCGACATATCAGCATGCGTATTCCTGCAGTAGACAGGACGACGTACCCTTGTCGATGATCGGTCCCTTGTTCGAGTCGCCGGTTGCATACGAGAGGAGCGCGACACGGGGTTCCATGCCGAACGCCCGAGCCGACTCGGCGCTTTGCACCGCAATGTTGGCGAGGTCCTCGGCCGTCGGGTCTGTGTTGATGGCGCAGTCGCCATACACGACCACGTCGTCTTCGAGGCACATGAAGAAGATACTCGAGACGAGCGGGCGGTCGGGGCGCGTCTTGATGAGCTGGAGCGCCGGGCGCACCGTGTTGGCCGTCGTGTGGCAGGCACCCGAGACCATCCCGTCGGCCAGACCCATCTCCACCATGAGCGTACCATAGCACGTCTACACATAGCAGTACGGTGAGCCAAATAATCCAGGACGAATCAAGAAGCGTACCGCTTCGGACGCCGACTCGCGGGCAAATTCGAGAGAGACGCCCTTGACCTTGCGCTTCTCGTAGAAGCGTGCGGCGAGGAGGTCGAGGTCCGCCGCCTTGGACGGATCGATGATGGACGCCGCCGACAAGTCGAGTCGGAGCGTCTTGGCGCGCGCCGCGATCGAGTCGACGTCACCGAGGATCGTGATCTTGGCAATGTCGCGCCGGAGGACTTCATCGGCGGCCTGAAGAATACGGTCGTCTTCGCCTTCGGTGAGCACAATGTGCTGCTGGACCTTGCGCGCCTTGGAGAAGAGAAAGTGCTTGAACTGCTTGGGCGTCCGCTTCGTGCTCTTGACAGCTTGGCACACTGTGTCCATGAGCGCACTCCGCGACACGAATTTGTCAAAGCTAGACATATTGTCCACAATCAGATCAGATCCAGTACAGAGTGCAGGTCGTTGCATACAGAATGTTGGACTGCTGGATCTTGGTTTGACTTGTGGGCAGAATATCGCACGTGACGCGGCTCAGCGCGTTCGCCGTCTTGTACGCGTCGCCCTCGACCGTGTATATCGGGATCGTCGCGTTGTCGATCTTGGCCACTAGAAAAGCGAATTTTGTGATTTGTCATCGCCACATTTGGTTGTGAAATGTCCTACTGCCGTCGAGAATGTCCTTGACGTGGTCTTGCGGGTAGGAGCCATTCGTCAAAATGACACCGGCGACGTTGGGAAGGGCACCGGACGCACGGCTCGCCAAAAGTCCCAGCACGACATCTATACAGGGGAAGCCCGATAAGAAACCGCAAGCAATCGCTTGTCGTCAGCTGCGTACCCGTGCGGTCGGCCGACGTGATCACAAGAAGACCGTCATCGTGGGCCTTGAGATGACCAAAAAGCTCCTTCAGGTCGCTTGTGCCAATGAGGCCGTCGGTGACGACAACACTGTTGGGCGACGCCGGGCCATAGAGCTGCGTCGCCTGCAGCTGCGCAACGACCTCGTTCAAGCGCTTGGATGCAAGAATCGAGTCGAGCGGGAGCGCCCCGAGAAAGATCGTCGGGTCGGCCGCGCCCTTCTCCCGCAACAGATCTTGCACCCGCTTGCGCGTCTCGAGCGGCGTCGAGCTGCGCACGCGATTCGCAATCGAGCCAATGTACGTGAGGCCCGCCGCGTCGACCGCGTCCTTGCCCAGGAGCACACGCGTCGCGATCGCATCTTCAATGCGCTGCGTGTCGGGAAGGTCGCAAAAGTCGTTGGTGAGGAGCACGGGTGCGCCGAGCGTCTTGGCGAGCTCGACGTTGATGTCCCAAGCGAGCTCCGGCGCCGACTCGAACGTTGCGCCTTCGATAACGACAAAGTCGTGCTTGGCGCGAAGCGCTTCGAATTTGGCCACGATCGTATCGGTGATGATGTCGAGGTCGCCGGTCAAGCGCGCGTTCACCACGTCGTCGTGGTGAAGACCCACGAGCTGCTCGTAAGTCTCGGGCAGCTTGAGCTCCGACTTGAAGAGCTCGACGTGGTGGTCCGATCCCAGCGGTGGTGCGATCGGCCGAAAGTAGCCGACCGAGTGGTATTTGATGGCGAGTGTATTCATGAGGCCGAGAAGCACGGGTGTCTGGTGCGACGTCGCATCGTTCGAGAGCACGATGACGCGGTCGTTGACCTTGTGCGCTACAAAGGATCGCGCATGAGCTTTGTCGAGATGATGGAAGCATAGATCGGCGTACTCTCCGAATACCAGCGGCGGGCCACGGACGGGAGTTGCCGACGAAGCCGAAACATAGCAAATGCGCAAGTGTCCACCACCACCACGGACCTTGGGCGATTACGTCGTCATGGAGCGTTTAGCCATCCGTCATAGAGGCGCACCACGTGGCTTGCTTTCTTTCGCAGACCTCCTGCTTTACATCTTGCGGTTTGTATGCTGACGTCGTGGTCGACCGCTGTGACGTCAAAGTCACGTGGGTACCACCATCGCCGACGCCGCGCCAAATTTCAGGCGCTCTCTATACATGTACGCGGTTGGCTCCGGCGTGCGAGCGCCCGTCACGCCAAACGGGGAGCGGCCGCCTCGTCGAACCCGACCCACAGACCTCTGGCGATGACGCTGCGGAAGCATGGACGCGACACGCGTGGCTGGATTTATGCCACCATCGTGACTCACTGCATATCCCACGGCTGTCCCAAGTGGCGCGGTGGTTCCGACAGAGCTGGCGCACGGCGTCGCGTGCGAGGCAACGCGCCTTGGACGGGCTCTACGCAGCACGGCACGCCGCGCTTGCGTGTGGCGCGTGATGGCGCGCGGCGGCGGCGAATGAGTGGCCAGTCGGAAACAGCTGTCCCAAAGCTGGTCGAGAGCCCGGCCAATCGTTGGCGTCGACCGATGCACGCCTTGCAGAAGCCGTGCCGACACGCGGAAAAAGCTTGTGGTCTCCAGTCTACGTCATCCGGAGAAGTGTGACGCGACATCCAAGGGCGTCCGTGGGTTCACGGTTGAGATTCCTTTGCATATCCTTGTGTCTAGCGAACTTCACTTGGTTGCAGCCGCTCCCCGATTGCTCGGCGCCGTCGACTATCAGCCGACCCACTCCACAGGTCTACGTCTGGGTCTACGTTTGCGTCTACGTCTGGGTCCACGTCGGTTTTCTTGTCTGCAGGACCTATACCTCGACGCGCATCCGTTGGACCCCTAACCCTCGTGACGACACAATTGAGCGGCCGTGCTTCGTCAACGGCCACTTTGCGGGACCGATTATTGAGTGCGTCGTCGGAGCAATGAAAAGCTGGACGAGATGCTTGCACACGCGGCGTGGCGACGTCTGAACATAGTATAATGACAATGTGTGTTTGTAGTTGATGACATTATTGTCGGCTTATTCCTGCACGATGCGGTACGTCTGGGCCGCAATGCTCTTTTCTTCGTCCGTTTGCACGACGAGGATCGGGACGCTGCTCGTATCGGCGTGGACTTCGAGGACGTTGGTGTTGAGGTCGACTTCGTTGCGGCTCTTGTCGACGACGACGCCGACGTGGGCGAGATCCTTGAGGATTTTGTTGCGGAGGATCCACGAATTCTCGCCAATGCCGCCCGTAAAGATGATGCCGTCGAGGCGCGGCGACAGCTGCACGAGGTACGCGCCAATGTACTTGCGCACGCGGTGGGCAAACACGTCGAGCGTCAGGTCTGCGTGGGCGTCGCCGGCGCGGAACCGGTCTTGGAGCACGCGAATGTCGGCGTCGCCCGAGAGCCCGAGGAGCCCGCTCTTCTTGTTGAGCATCGTGTCGATCTCGGCGTAGCTCATGCCCACGTGGTTGTGGAGAAATGTCGGGATCGCCGGGTCAATGTCGCCGGACCGCGTGCCCATTACAAGCCCCTCGAGCGGCGTCAAGCCCATGCTCGTGTCAATGCTCTGGCCGTTCTTGATGGCCGTGACACTCGCACCGTTTCCGAGGTGGCACGTGATAAAGTTGCACTCGCTTAGCGGCTTGTTGAGGTGCTTGGCCGCCTGCGCCGCGACGTAGCTGTGGCTCGTGCCGTGGAAGCCGTACCGCCGGACGCCGTGCTCCTTGTACAGGTTGTACGGAAGGCCGTACAGAAAGGCCGACGGCGGCATTGTCGCGTGGAACGCCGTGTCAAACACAGCGACCTGCGGGCAGGCATCGCCGAGGAGCTCGGTCGCGACTTGGATACCGAGGATGTTGGCCGGGTTGTGCAGCGGTGCGAGCGCAATGCTCTCTTCCAGCGCGCCCATGATACCCTATTTACAAGATCTCAGTGGAGCTAGGAGGGCATGAAGTGTACAGGTGTGATGAGCGACGCGTCCGAGAAGCGTTCGCCGCCGTGCACGACGCGGTGGCCGATGGCGTTGATGTCGCTCTTGTGGGCGAGGCCGCCAAAGCTCGGGTCGCAAAGGAGGTCAATGACGAGCGAGAGCGCAGTCTTGTGGTCGTCGAGCTTGGCGTCCGGGAGCTCCATCTTCTTGGGGTTCTCACCGTGCGTCTTGTGCGTAACCTTGGAGACCTCGCCAATCTCGACCATGCCCGAGATCATGGGCGCGAGCGAGAGGTGCGACTTGGCCACGGCGCGCGACGCAGCAAAGAGCTTGTACTTGAGCGTCGAGCTGCCCGCGTTGAGGACGAGGATCTTGGTGAGCTTGTCCATCGTGTTTCAAAGTGCAATATGAACTGATTGCGATATAATGGCAAGCGTCGCGCAGTGAAGGAGACCGAGTTCGTTAGAGAGGACACGGAGTGCGACAGGCCGGCGGCGCGTGCTCGAGCGGCGGCAAGTACGAGAATGACTGCGCCTCATTGGTGGAACACATCGCCTTGGGACATCCACGGCCGGTGCGTCAGAAAAGCGGATCTTTGTCCGGATAAGCGCCCACGACGCCCAGAAAACGGGAGCCTTTCTACTGTATTTAATCGTAATTCCGAGGTGCCCTTACAAATCTCCAGTCAGGATAAATCCAGTGAATTTTATTCAGATTCGTTCGGGGATAAAAATACCCGCTGCGCAAAAACACGCACCGTTGCCGGTTGCCTGTTTTCGAACCGTTGCCGAATCTCAACCTCTACAAATCGGACTTATGGGATTCAGGTAGGATATGTCCGAAAGCTAGACGCAAATGACACAGAAATGCGATCCAGCGTCATTTTCAGATTGTCAGCATGCTCCGCGCGAGCCGCCACTTGCTACCGACGCGCCGGTCCGCGCTCCTCGCGCGCGCTGCCACGAGCCGCCTCTTCTCGGATGGTAGGCGCATGGAGATCTAGGAGGTAGGTTGACGGCTGTATGTGTAGCACCCCACGCCAACGACCGCGTCTTTGTCATGTCCAACGACACGACGCCGCACCAGTCGCCCGTGCTCCTCGGCCTCATGAACACGCTCTCGGTCAAGTACCCGTCCGTGGGCTACTTCCGACCGATCGCGCCCAACAAGAACCCGCGCGTGTCCGACCACCACGTCGAGGTCATGAAGTCCGAGTTCAAGCTCCCGGAGGAGAAGGACCAGCTCGTCGGTCTCTACAACGACGATGTGGTCCAAGCCCGACTCAAGGGCGACCTCGACTCGGTCACCGATACGATCATCTCCAAGTTTGAAGCCCTTCGCGCCAAGCACGACTTTGTCGTCATCGAAGGCGCCATGTTCGAGTCGGCGCCCGAGCTGGCGTGGGACATCAACGTGGAGCTGGCCAAGACGCTTGGTGCGCCCGTGCTTCTGACGAGCGACCTCGCAGATGCCGAGGTCGACGAGAACCTCTCCGAGGACGAGCGCACGCAGAAGCTCGTCGACACGATCGTGACGCGTGTGCTTCTTGCCAAGGACGCGGTCCAAGACGCTGGGCTGACGTACGTGGGCTCCATCGCCAACCGCGTGCACACGAAAGACCCAATCGACATTCGGAATCGCGTGCAGGCCATCTTGGCCCAGAAGGGCGAGGCAAACACCTTCCATGGCGCGCTCCCCCTCGACTCGATCCTTGCGTCCAAGCGCCTGAACGAGGTCGTGGACCAGCTCCACGCGACGCAGCTCTACGGCCCGCCGTCGCCCAACAGCGTCGTCGTCACCGACGGCTTTGTCGGAACAAGCGACCTCAAAGACCTCTTTGGGCACATGAAGAAGCACGAGGACGGTCTCCTTGTCATTGTATCGGCCGACCGCACGGGTACGTACCCTTGCGTCGATATCGGCATCTCACATGACGCATGTAGACGTCATGCTGGGTCTGCTTGTGAGTAAGCTCTCGGGTGCGCTCCCGAACGTCGCGGCAGTGATTTTGACCAACGGCAAGTTTCCCCAGGACCACGTCAAGGACATTCTCGACGGCAGTAGGATATTTCGCAACCAAATGTGGCGATGGCAAATCACAAAATTTGCTTTTTTAGTGGCCAAGATCGACAATGCGACAATCCCGATTTATACGGTCGAGGGTGACTCGTACAAGACGGCGAATGCGCTCAGCCGCGTCACGTGCGATATTCTGCCCACGAGCCGGACCAAGATCCAGCAGTCGTACATTCTGTACGTTATCATCATGCCGATCGGACACAGTGTATTTAATACTTGGCGATAGGTTTGACAAGTATGTCGCGCGCGACTCGGTCGTCGGCGGCGTCTCGAAGGAAATGAGCACGAAGCGCACGCCCAAGCAGTTCAAGCACTTTCTCTTCTCCAAGGCGCGCGCGGTGCAGCAGCACATTGTGCTCACCGAAGGCGAAGACGACCGTATTCTCCAAGCCGCTGATGAAGTCCTCCGGCGCGACATTGCCAAGATCACGATCCTCGGTGACGTCGACTCGATCGCGGCGCGCGCCAAGACGCTCCGACTCGACTTGTCGGCGGCGTCCATCGTGGACCCGTCCAAGTCTGCCGACCTCGATATGTATGCCGATCGTTTCTACGAGAAGCGCAAGATCAAGGGCGTCTCGCGTGAAGTGGCTCGCGAGTCGGCTGCGGAAGCGGTGTGCACCTGGCGTCGTCTCGGACTGTTTGGCTCACCGTACTGCTATGTGTAGACGTGCTATGGTACGCTCATGGTGGAGATGGGTCTGGCCGACGGGATGGTCTCGGGTGCCTGCCACACGACGGCCAACACGGTGCGCCCGGCGCT